CCTTGATCGCCTGCATGGCGATGGGCTTCATGATCAGGGGAGGCTATTCACAGAGATTTGTGGATCCGGATCAGAATATCGGACAAGAATTTCTCTCGTTGCAGATGCAGAGGGCTTTGATCATGATGAAAGTTCCACTTTGCCGCCTTGCAAGGCTCTATTGTCTGCTCGATCTTGTCTTTCGTGAAACATAACATTCTAACACACTAGAAATTACAAGTCTGTTTTAGTTCTGCCTAGGGTTCAGAAACATTTATCCATGTATAGTTCTAGGAAATTTCTAAAAACCAATTGAGAAATTCATGCAAGGCAGGACGAGGTTCTACCTATAAAACACTTGAAAAAAAATACAGTTATGCAGAATTAAAACGGAAGATACTAGATTCGAGTACTGCAAGATGTTTAGAATATCAGTTGGTTTCCATATACCCTCTCATATGGCAACACCCAACTGAACACTTGTTGAGTGCAGTGGTAGCAAGGAGGGTGAATAACGCCAGATATTGTTTTCAGGAACCTAAGAGCAGCATGCAATTCATTGGGTTGATGGATTTTGATGAATTTTCCACAAGTGGCCATGGTGTGAAAACTGACAGCAGTTATTGCGTAAAAATATACATCCGAGGTGAGAAATCTCAAGGAGAGAAACGTATGCGATATCCAGCGGCGCTGTTGAGAGAGGAGGACCCGTTCGATCCATTTTTTCGCTTCAAACATGATCATTCCCAAGTAAGTACCTATGCCATGCCTGTGGTTTCGCGCTGTGGACTGATTCGCCACTGGTTGTCTCATAAGGACGTGGTTTGTATAGATATGCAGAGTGATATACTCGCACAAGGGTTCATCTCCTCTTAGTGAAGGGATACACATACGGCTGAGTACCGGCTTTGCTGGCCGCAGATCCGACGGGGTTGATAATGCAAGGCCAAACCTTCTCACCAAAAATCCAAGGTTGGCCGTACGATATATCCACATGCTAACTCTCGCACGAGGGCATCCCAATATGAACTAGTAGTGGTTAACTGTTACTGGATCGCAAGCTATCCAATAGTAATCGAAATTACGGAAATGACGCGGAAGGTTCTAGACAGATATTTCCTTTTTTTATGGGAGGGATACAGTGCTTTTTCACTTCAAGCTAACCCACACACGACCGCAATGTGCCCCACTGTGGTATTTTCGACAATTGAACACAAAGAGATACAAACAAAAAATAATCATTCATACCTGTATGCTTCCGCAACTACCACACACCACTATGGTTCTCTGTAGGCTTCCTCAATAGTCCTTCCCTGGACAAATATTTGCAGCTGTGTTGGTGGAAGAAGCGGAAAAAAATAAGGTGCAATGGATGAAAATAGTTGAATCATAGGATAGAGGACCCTAGATCTGTACAATGTGACTCACCAGACATTCCTTGTAATACTTACAGCCTCAATGAATTCAGGGTAACCCCTCGTAACCAACCCCACAGCAGCACAACAACTTAACCATGAAACTTTCACCGCATTTGTTCAATAGTAATGTAGCCGCGGTAGGAGATATATCTTGCTCTTGACCCTTATCCAATGCCATCGCAACTTCAAGGTTACTATTCTTTCTCATAGACTCATGGCTGGCATATTTTTAAAAGGTGCTATGGTCCTCAATGATCAAACACCCAGACATTTTGAAGAGTGGTGGAAAATAACTCTCAACATAATATTTGTATGATGATGCCATGTATTCATGTCGCCTTGAGCCTCAAATGATGGTCTAAGATTTCATTTGCAGCCTTTGATAATTTCTATCTACTGATTATATGCAGCATTATATTCAGAATATTTGATCTTTTTATTTTGTGGAACCTTAGGCCGATATAAATACAGCCTCATGACCTGCACCAAACATCTGCTTGCAACATGAGGTTATGATAAATTATTTATCATAAGATAGGTACATACAGTACAATCTTATCTACACTTAGTAAATAACCAGCAAAGTAGCTCGTGTAGTCTTTACTATACTCCCACTGTACCTTGGTGCTGACGAACTTCTGCCCCACACACACAGAGCGATGCCAAATAACCACCCCAGCTATCCACCACTCCTTCCCCTGTCAGCTTTGCTCCATCTGCTGCGTCCTGTGCCTCATGAATTTTGTGTACAGAGCACTTTCGAAACAAGCATACCTGATTTCAGTGTATATTGGTTACAAGCATACCTCCACCGGTCCCACATAGTAAATATGGATACAAGAATATTCTTATTTTTTTTTGGCTTGTATACTTCTATCTAGAGAAGCTCTAAACCACAAATAGGTACTTATCGATAACAAATTACCCCGCACATCTCATCTAGATACAACATACAAAATCAAGTACCTCCTGAAGAATGGCATCTTCTTCCACATCTTCTGTTCACCAGTGCCAGGCCTTGTCAGAGCTTGATAAAGACATACTCGGAAGCAAACCCCAAGGCAACCTAGCTAATAAAGACCTCAAGCCGATGAACCAGAAGCCGAGATTCCACCAGCAATATCTCCACCAGTTACACCCCAGGAAGCTCTCGCACATGTGTTGAAGGATTACTCCTCATCTCACTTCAAGCTGAACCATAGCCAAATATCAATGAAGTACAAGAGGACCTAAAGCGTGAGAAAAAGTGCATTGAGACTCTGGAGATTCAATGCAGGCATCAGCATATTCAACCCAGGGTCACTGATTTTTTGGGGCCTCCGGGAGCTACCTCCTCCTCCTCCGCTCCATGAGATTCTAGTCCCCGCATTACTCTCATGTGTCTATTTGTTGCTTTGGTGCTCTCGTTATATATACCATCTTATTCTGCAACAGCTGACTAACTTCACTTCATATTTTCCTATTTTTTCTTAATATAAGAATATGTTGGTTACAGTATCCTCCCTCGGTCCCAACGATATGTTTGTATCGAGAGCACTCTGTAGCCCTCACTCTGCGGCTTCGGCAGAGACGATCCTGTGTGGTAACCCGCGGCTTTCTTGCAGATTTTAATCAATAATCTTCTCTACGCCGCTCCGACTGATGAACAGCAGCAGATTATGGCCTAATTGAGAGGCCAATCAGAGAGGGGTCTGACACACCTAGGCCGGACTTTCACAGCTGCTATGAGGCAATGTATTGTTTACCTCACCTACTACTACATGAGAGACGAGAAACTGACCAGAAATCTGTGTGTGTATCTCTAGGGCTAGCTGCTGGCGGTCGAACTGCTGTGAGACTACAAGCAGGGACCTATCCTTGCATCATTTTTTTTTTTTTTTTTGTAAAAATACTCCTTATTCGGTCCCAGTACATAGCCCTGCATCACGATCAACGACGTCTAGGGGACTAGTAAGTGTGCTGGTCAACTTATGCGTGCTGACTCGCCAACGCCCTCCACAAGTTGCTCATATTGTAACATTTTCTCTAGGAAGGTTACTTAGGTTAGGAGGCCCGTTGCAGCAAACAGTGCCCACCATTGAAGCCTTCTTAAGGGTTTTCGCGGGCCCAACAGTGGCGCGCAATCTAGAACAATACTTGCTGCACGGTCTTGGTTCACTCAATCAAATCAATCGCGTCGAGAACTTGTTACGCCTACCTCCAGATGCCCACCAAAATTTCGGGTCGGGACACTTTGTGCTGGAACCTGTTGGGGACCCCTTGGCGGCTGGGATCCAAATCTCCACTAATGTTCTTTCCTCGTACGCCGTGCGGTTCTCCTGGTTCACAAAGAATCGGCCAGGAGAGGGCCTAAGGGGTCGGAACAACTCCCAAGAAAGAAGACGCTTGGGATCCGGCGCAAGTGCTAGATCCCGGTGTTTCCATGGGCCTCTTCAGATACACAGTACAGCAATCCGGGAGACCTCGCCTTCCGCGGCGCCTTCGTGGCCAACCCTTGAAAACGGGGTTCATATTCACCATAACCACGACGGTTCACCATCCCTTTCCTCACCCAGACCTGCTTGTCCTTCATGCTGCCATCATGCGCGTGTGTAGGGCCGCGGGAATGCCGGAACCGGAGGATGACGAAGAGTGGGATTCTCCAGATGAGACAGAACCTGCAGTCTAGGATTCAAGATCAGTTGGCCCCGGAGGACCCATCATATACCCTGAGGCGCTTTCGCAGGTGCTGAGACACCGGACGAATCAGGGATTAAGGGAATACCTGAACTAATATATGGTTACCGTAATACCTACAGTGGGCGAGTTGATTATGCGATTGGGGTGGTCAAGAAGGGTGCCTTAAGCAGAACGGAAAAAAGGTGGTCCATGCACCGTATCTATGCTATTTATTTTACTTCTTGTTGAGGCCAAGTGTGCGTGTGCTATGGATATGGATGGTGCTGTTGCTCAATTGTTTGGGTACATGGCTATCCTCTACAAGTTTCGCAAAGGCTCAAGCAGCAACCCGATAGATAAGGATAACTATGGAATGGTCTTATCTATGACTTTTTGGTCATTGACGGGGAAGGGTTCATGAAAAGGGGACCCAGAACCGATATTGGTGAAGTTCCAAAATAAATCCACAGAGTAGTTCGTGCAGTGCTGTGCAGCCTGGAGAAGGAGCTGGATGTTATGAACCAGAAGATCTTGCAGGTGATCTCACGGCCGGGAAGCAGGATAGTAAGTGCGGAGACTCCTCATGGTCCCCTATTGGGACCGAATAGGAGTAAGGAGTATTTGAAAAAAAAAAAATGAAAAAATTAAATGCGGAGACAAAAGTGGTGGAAGTGCACCGAAACATCCCACAGTCGGGCATATGTTTCAGGAACAACCCGACGATTTGCAGCCCTTGGTGGATGGCAACCTCACCTAACTATACATGCCTTGTAGTTCTTTCTGTATATAGAACATATATTGTGTTACACCTCCACTCCAGTTCTTCGCCATATAGGGCAATATCAGGCTTTATAACACTCATCTTTGATTGATAGAAAAAAATATAAGTGCACAATTTACTGCAATTTTGCAGTCTAGCGTTTATGGGTGAAAGGAAAAATAAAACTCTTTGGCGGGGAATTGAACCCCGGTCGCCCGCGAACCTGATCAAAGCGATGTTGACAAGCGGGAATACTTACCACTATACTACCAAAGATAGGATGGTAGCTTTATGGTGCACAGATAAATGAGATGTTCATGACCCTGATAGTGGCAATGGCGGTTGTTTTTTTGGGTGGTGGTGACTCGACACTGAATTTTATCTCCGTAGTAAGTCATAGGAAACACATATACATGAATATGAGGCTATGGAAAATCCCAAGTACTAATACAACTTCAAGGGGATCCAGAAGTTAGCTTCGCCTAAAGTCAGTTTCAGCAGTCTATAACTGTAACAAAAGCAGAAAACCTAACCGCCACCCTATACGGGCAATTTAACCCTCATAATCACTATTGCCTTAGTATGCAAGGGCTGTGCCTCAAAACAACAGAATCACTACCTGTTGAAATTGAACGCAGGGAAAATAAATAACATGATGCTTCCAGCTTACACATGTACAGTAATGGAGACCTATAGGGAATTTGCAAAGCTTTCGTCGAGGGATCATTAGAATTTTATGAGAATTTCCTTATCAATTTAGTATTCAGCTTACAATCAAGGCCAGTATTCGTTGTTACGGAACGCTGCTAGATAGGTTTCATGAATGCTAGATCTGGAATTGAAGAGAGCTAATGTGCCTACAAAGCCTCTATTGAACAACGGAGGTCGATCTGTATGTATATATGTTACAGCTTTCCTATAGTTATTGGATAGATGCCGCCATATACCGGATATTCATCCAAAAGAGCACACAGATTGCAGATGCGGCATCGTAGGATTCCCGCCATGGCGCCATATATGGACAATATTACTACACGTAAGTGTATACCTTATATCACTCCCTCCATAGTATTGTTACTGAGCCGCAATGTCTTCACAGTTCCTTTGCCAAAAAAAAAAAAAAACTGTACAGTTGTCATCTTTACAGATGTTGGCAAATTGTCGTCCATTGAAGGACATCGACCGATCTGTCAGTAGTAAGATCCAGCCCCCAGCGTCAGCCAACCAGGTTTCCCAAAGCCTCCGAACCTAATGGAAGATCACGCGGCATCGATCTATACTCGCTCGACTTAACTTAAGTACAGCTGTATCATCCTAATTTGGGCCTGCTTGTTGGGGATATATCCATGTCCATATCAGGCATGCACCCCTGGAGCAACTAACCGCAACGTCAAGTTTAAGAGCTCTTGATTGCTCGCTTTTATAAATATATTACTCACGCGGAGAAATGTGTCTTAGTTTTAATGTCGCAGGTGGGACGATTTGCATGTGTGACCGATATCAACATGGGATTATGTTGACTTACGAATACATAATGTTGTCGGAATTACTAGGGTGTCATCGGCACCTATTTAAAGGCAGTTGAGGTGCCACTATCAGCGCAGGCCCCCAACACCTGCAACTTATTCCAGGAACGAAAACACCACCAAAATAACAACCTGTACCATAAAACTACCTAGTAGTCACATTTCTTCTCAAAAGATTAGTAAAATGCCTGTTCAAACCCGTTCTCATGGCCGCCCTGCCGCTCCTTCTCTCACAACCAGAATCAAGAAGGCACTAACCGGCACATCAACGAAACCCCGTGCAACCCCAAAGAAAAACAGTACCTCAGGGAAGAAAAATGCGGGTATTACCAAAGCCAACTACGCGGGAAGTGCCCACAAGAATAAGCGCAAGCCAGGACTTGTAGACAAAATTGAGGGAGTGGCCCTCAAGATCGAGGGAGCCATGACCCGGAGGCCAGGGGTAAAGGTAGGACAATTACCTCATTTAGTTGCTTCACCACAGATTTGAACATCTCTTTTCTCCATACCCATTCTTCTTAAAGTTGTATCTCATTACCCCGATTTATACACCTGGGATAGTATAGGATGAAAAACGTTATCACTACAATGCAAGTTTGTCTACTAACAGTAACACGCTGATGTAGGCTGCTGGAACAAAGAAGATCCGAGGAACGGATGGAAAGAATTCCCACACACCCAAAGGTGTCAAAGTACCTCATTAAAAACTTCATACATGGTCACCACTCTCGTTCGACATTATTCCTGTTTTCATTCTGGCTGGCGTCCTAGGCGTCTTGGTTGGGGGTTTTAGTCCTAGCACTCTCGTGCGCCTCGGAGGCTGGAAGGTATATATATACAGGCCTAGAGAGCAGATATCGCAATGGAATAAGATTTGTGTTGTTTTTATTGAAGCACGTTATTGTAAAGTTGCTGTAGTTTGCACGTTTGCGACTTGGGGTATACAAATGGGTCTTCATGTAAGACTGAGACCTAGGCTGGGTGGACTTGAGAATGGAAAATCTTCAGCAAGGGAGAAGAGAAACCTTATTGGCTTTGCAATCTTGTCACATCATGCACACACACACACATGTTTCTATACAGTAGAATCCCGCTTAATCTTAAATACGGAACACAGGTCGGGAATTCCCCTTTGCCCATACAAATGTGTTATCATTTTTGTGGGGCCTTACTCACATAAAGGGGGGGGTGCTTAGGTAGGTCTTACTCGCGAGTTTCTACGGTATCTTCTCACGGATTCGAAGCTCACGTCAGATACCATATGGGAGCCACACAGATCAAAACACATCTCCCTAGCACCATTTTCGGTGGTCCAAATGCCTCCATCAAAACATAAGCATGAACATATCCGGATGATTGATATTCCATGGCCAGTGCTAGATCTAGATCAGTATTTGGTTTAGGTCTCCCGTATCATTTGTCGTTTAACACTATGACCTTTCTGGATTAATCTGGATTCCAGGCGAGCGAATTTGAATTTAGGCTCTCTGCCTCGAGTCGTTGGAGAGGGCTGTGTTTAGTAGGCTTGAGCATTGGGCAGTAGTTGGAGGCCCGCGGGCGCCTTCTGTTGGTGGCCAAAAATTTTGTTTGTCTCTAGCCAGTACGGTAGGTACGTACGGTAGTATGGGAGGTTGAATGCATCACATTACCAGTAGCCTAGCCTTCAGCTTTGCTGCTTGTAAGTGGCCCGACAAAGATCCGTCGGAGGTACAGGTATCCTACTGAATTGGGAGCAGAGGAAGCAACTTGGTCGAAGTAATGACAGGATGCATCGACGCCCCAGGACATAAGGGTTCCGCTCGCCTGGTAAGCGGGTCAGGAGTCCAACGGGGTAGTTATAATGAGCAAATGCTGTTGTGCTTCAATATCATGGATGAGTTAAGTACCAGCGTTTACTTTGCCAGGTCACCTCAAAGCGAGCCGGGCCCTGCAGCTCGTGTTGTATTGACTGTAGATTACTCAATTACAAGCAAGGTAACTTAACGTTGGGTACTGAGGGCGAGGATATGTTTGAGGCCTATCCAGAGGCCCGCTTCCTTGATGATCTGAACTACGTAAGTCAAGAGTTGGGCAGAAGACAGAATGACTTCTGGTAGCTTCGCTATATCCTAATCCTATAGTAACGTAGCCATATTGACGTATGTCGCAGATACCTCAACATCAACATTATACCTCGCAGCACCTAAACGGAGGGAACCTCTACAGCGCCGCCTACCATCAACTCACCCTATGACGCCACCCAACTATGATTACGAACACCCACATTGGCACAGATATAACCCTGGCCGCTCCGAATATCTGGGTACGTCGAAAGGGTTACGGTCCGTCTCTAACTGCAGGCCAGGTGTTATTCAATGGGGATCTCAGATGGGAGACTCGAGCTTACAGAAGGAGCTATGTAAGCGTCACCGTCCTACTCGCAGGTGGCTCATCATGGTCCCCCCTTACTGGGATTGCATATGAGTACCGAGTTTTTTTTTTTTTAAAAAAAAAGTGCTATTCGCAGGACACGCTGCATTGCAACACTTCAGTTACCTAAATATAGACCGCAGCACCCATACACATGTAGGCGTGTCCAACTGTACCATGTCCAGGAGGAGATTCACAATTGGAATCATTAAGGTTTCATGTGTCATTTCTCCTGTTCAGGCCTCCACCAAATGCTGGAAAAAGTGCCTGAGACTTTCAGGCATTGAGTCATCAGTTTCACAAATGGACATGAAGCATTCTGCCCCACTATTGTATGGGTAATATAATGACATTGGGGAAACTAACTACTTAGATCTATCCCTAGTTACTACCTTCCAGCTAGTGCTTATTTACTGTAAATAGGTTGGGCTCAAATCCTCGGGTTCTTCTTTTTCCTTTCCACTGAAATGGCCTTGCCACCATGCCGAGTAACCCACGCATGATATTGGGGCGGATATTATATCATTTGAATGTTGTTTTTCGTTTTCAGTTTCTCGTTTTCAGTTTCTCGATTTCATTGTTTTTCGATTTCATTTTTTTCGATTTCTCTGGGAGTATTTCCCTGTGGACTACCGCGAGTTCTTTCCCAGGTGGATAGTTCCAAAAATGACAACACATGAATCTAATTTCTACTCACTACTTAGATTTGGAAGCTCCCAATTTGGATTTTACTTGCAAGCAAAACGATTGACCTTTTCCTGCACCCCCAGAGCGTCTGTAGCTTTTTTACTGGGTCCGACCCACATAAGACAAAAAACGTATAATACCCTGCCGGAACGAGTAGGTAATGAAACAAGTGTTGGGGCACCGAGTCCAGTCTTCAAGGATTTGGATGCCTGCAATGGCTGTGAGAAGATACCGAGAATGGTATTTGCCTTATTGAAGCTTCAGGTCCGAATATCAATATTTCTGCTGGTTAATCAAAGGGAAATAGGACTATGAAGGTGCGGTGAGGATCTTGAGGGTATACTTAGGTATATACCCGGTGTAATATGCGGGACAGCAAAACCGACATCGGAGTTAACTCATCCACCGACTGCGAACTTATGTACTGTACTTACTTATCTGATTCTCGGAATCTATTCAATTCAAAAGCGCATATACCCTAGTTTATTAACATCTAGCTCGAGGCTAACACTGGCTTTTGTGGATGAGGTAAATACAATTGATTAGCTGTATAATTGACTGTCAACGTCCTGTGCTAGACCCACCTAGTAGGGTAAACAGAGGCAAACTGGCACCAAGCGTGGGGACTACGTATGGGATGGTAAACAATCGACG